AAATAGAAAAAGAGACACAGATGTACAGAACAGACTTTTGGACTCTGTGGGAGAAGGCGAGGGTGGTACTGGCACAAAGACAGAAATATAGACCAATGGAACAAAATAGAAAGCCCAGAGATTAATCCATGAACCTATGGACACCTTATCTTCAACAAAGGAGGGAAGAATATACAATGGAAAAAAAGACAACCTCTTTAACAAGTGGTGCTGGGAAAACTGGTCAACCACTTGTTATGAAACTAGAACACTTTCTAGTGTTCTAACACCATACACAAAAATAAACTCAAAATGGATTAAAGATCTAAATGTAAGACCAGAAACTATAAAACTCCTAGAGGAGAACATAGGCAAAACACTCTCTGACATAAATCACAGCAGGATCCTCTATGACCCACCTCCCAGAATTTTAGAAATAAAAGCAAAAATAAACAAATGGGACCTGATTAAACTTAAAAACTCTTGCACAACAAAGGAAACTATAAGCAAGGTGAAAAGACAGCCTTCAGAATGGGAGAAAATAATAGCAAATGAAGCAAAAGACAAAGAATTAATCTCAAAAATATACAAGGAACTCCTGCAGCTCAATTCCGGAAAAATAAATGACCCAATCAAAAAATGGGCCAAAGAACTAAACAGACATTTCTCCAAAGAAGACATACAGATGGCTAACAAACACATGAAAAGATGCTCAACATCACTCATTATCAGAGAAATGCAAATCAAAACTACAATGAGGTACCATTACACGCCAGTCAGGATGGCTGCTATCCAAAAGTCTACAAGCAATAAATGCTGGAGAGGGTGTGGAGAAAAGGGAACCCTCTTACACTGTTGGTGGGAATGCAAACTAGTACAGCCGCTATGGAGAACAGTGTGAAGATTCCTTAAAAAACTGGAAACAGAACTGCCATATGATCCAATTATGTTTTAATTCATGGGTAATAGTTCTCTGTGCAAGTGGCAATTGGAGGGGGCAGCTAGGATCAGGGGAATTAAGGTATGATGAAGTATCAAGTCATTTGAATTTGAATTGGTACAGATGAGCACTGCAAGGTAGCAGATACGAGATGCATGGATGAGCGGGTCACCACAGCCACGTCCACTCATCCAGCATGTTTCCTCAGCCAACCGCAGACCGACTCTCACTGAGTTCTCAGACTACCTTGGCCCAAGTCTTCACTTCTTCATAAGGCCCTCTTCCCACCTTTTGCCTGAGGATCTTGAACATGAACTTGAGGTTATTCCACTAATTGCAGTGTCATTCTGGAACTGACTCATGCCTCAGATACACATTCCTTTGCATGATGTGCCATTTTCCACCATTTGGAACACAAGTACCCAGAGGAATTAGTGAAAAACCTTTTCACCCACAAAGGACATGTGTGAAATGAACTGAAAGCCACTCAGTCATGTCCGACTCTTTGCAACCACATGGACTATACAGTCCATGGAATTCTCCAGGCAAGAATACTGGAGTGGATAGCCTTTCCCTTCTCCAGGGGATCTTCCCAACCCAGGGATCAAACCCAGGTCTCCCGCACTGCAGGCAGATTCTTTACCAGCTGAGCCACAAGGGAAGCCCAAGAAAACTGGAGTGGATAAGCTATCCCTTCTCCAGTGGATCTTCCCGACCCAGGAATTGAACTGGGGTCTCCTGAATTGCAAGTGGATTTTTTACCAACTGAGCTATCAGGGAAGCCCCAAGGACATGTGCATCTCACCATAAATTCATTATTAATCTGTTTGCTAAACATTCATCAAGCATGCTACATGAATGACACTGTAGAATATAGAAATTAGTAAGACCAGCCTCTGACCTCTAAAAATTTCCAACCTAGTAGGAAAGATACACGGACTGAACTCTCACCCCACTGCCAGCCAGGGAGGTCATTCCTGCTGCCCTTACCTCAGAAGCAGGTTTACCATCTGCCCAATTGTTTAAATCCAAAGCCTGGGACAGCCCTCAATTCCATGATGCTCCATCTCCATGACGACCACCCAGACCCAAGCCGCTGGTACCTCCCACCTGGACTAAGGCAGCAGCTTCCTAAAATGGTCTCTTGGTTCTACACTACCTTCTCCAAACACCGCATGTACTAACATCTGCAGTAAATTAATCTTCACATTCCTCTACTGCTTAAAGACATCTAACAGCTTCCCAGCACTCTTGGGAACAGCCAAATTCTTTCCAGGGGTCTCCAAGGCCCAGGTCAGCTAGCCCCCTGCCCTCCTGGCATCCCACCCTCTGGTGACTACACCCATCGGCTCTACCCTCACCCCACCTCCTGGTTGGATGCCATGTACCTGCTTGCCCTTCCTCTGCCTGGAGACGCCCGCCCCCTTCCGGTCACACAAGCATCATCCTCGCTCTGCGCCAGCTTATAAGAAATGTCCCCACCTCAGGAGGCCTCTCCTGACCTCTCCATCTAGGACTGCCGGAGTTGTCCTACTTTCATCTCATTTTCATTTTCTACCCTTATTCATAAATGACCTGTGATGGCTGCTCCCCTGGAGTGACCTGTAAGCCCACCAGGGGTCTTATTGGGAACCGTGTCCCCAAGGGGAGAACCATGTCCCCAAGGAGAACCATGCCTGCTTCTCGGGAGAGGCTGAGAAAGGACCTGCTGACAGACAAGTGTGCATCACAAAGAACAAGACAAGGCTGCCACAGATGGAGCGATGAGCCGTGAGAAAGCCGTGGAGGAGGGAAGTTAGGAACAGCATCCAGAGGAGGCCGTGTGCACTGCACCTTAAGGACGGGCAGACAGCATCACCAAAGGCACACCAGGCTCTGGGACTAGAAGAGAAGAAGCCCCAAAGGCATGACTGGTCCAGGGTGGCCTGAGGACGAGCGGGACCCAAAATGGAATAGCTGGTGCCCAGGGAAAGGGGCGGGAGGGCGGGCTGGGGGCCAGCACGGATGATGGGGAGTTGAGCTGTCAGCTGGGTGGGGCGGTTCACCGAGGCCTGGGATCTTACATTTCAGACCAGGAAAAATATCACTGAAAAGTTTGAGGGTGAAGCTACTACATTCTGACCTACATTTCACAGACACTGAGAAAAACCACTTCAGCTTAAATACAAACAAACAACAACAAAACAGCATCACTTTTAAGAGGATGGCACAGTCTCCTGCATTTGGAGGAGATCTCATCTGTAAGGCCTGGGAGAGCAGGCCCGCAGCTGGCAACACTATATCCCAGAGCTCAGGCTGAATGCAGATTACTTTCTGTTTTCAGAGGCATGGAACAGTCACGTGTCACTGCCAAGTTTACTCAGAGTCGAAGCCACCACCATCAAGAAAACGAAGCTGGTATCTGGATCCTGGGACAGGAAATGGGTTCCAAGTGGGGAGATGAATCCACCCATGTAAACACACTGCACACCCCAAAGATTCAAGCAGCCCCACAACACTGAACAGATGGGAACGTGCTTCTTAAATGGAAGACAACCCTAAACACCTGCATGTTATGTCAAACCCAAATAAAGTGAGCATGTGAAAGACGCAGTCTCAGTCATGGTAAAACGCTGCTGTTAAAACCAGAGAGAGGAATTAAAGACTGACAACCTAATGAGCTTCCCAAGTACCAATAACCCAGCTGCTCTGAGACTGCTCTCATATTTCAGGGGTCTTACCAATCACCAAGGGTTAGTCCAAGACAGATTTACCTAAAAAAGCACAACTCCTCTCAGTAACCCTGTCATAAGATGGAAAGGCTTCATGAACAGTGCTGGCAAGGGCTGACACAGAAGGGACCTGCCTATGTGTACATCCAGGAATTCTGGAAGGAGAGAGGGCCCAGGAGTCTGCAGCCAGTGGTCTACTAACCGGACCTGGGCTTCCGCCCGCTTGCCGATAGAAAGATGAATCCAGAAACATGATCAAAGGCCCCCTCCCAGCTTTAAACTCCTACAACAGTGAAGGAAGTCCTTACAGGCGTGTCTATTGTCCATAAACAGGAGGACTGACCCGAACTGAGGGATGAGGTATTCAGACTTTGTGAGAAGTGCTGAGACGGGGGCAATGGGCCATGGAACCGGTTCCCAGGTGAGAAACCATGCCCCACGTGGGGAAAGGCAGGAAGGAACAGAGTCAGAGCACAGGCTGGGAATCAGGCAGACCTGGGCTCCCACCATGGCTCTGACCCTGAAACTGATGAGCAAACCTGTATGAACTCTACGTGCGAGAGTCACTGTGAGAAATACAGGAGCTGACGAAGATGAGGCACTCAGAACAGTGCCTGGGACAGTGACGACCAACGAACCATCAGTTCTGAAGATGGCAGTGTTGTCAATTTTAACACATTTAGCTATGAGATTTACCTACACTGTTTTACATGAGATTCTCTTTGCAGGAAAGATAAAATTATGGACTCTTCACACGCCTGGCAAGGACCCCAAAGTCCTTTCACCCACTTCTCTGTTTTGAGGCATTTTCATGACCGTGTCGGGGATGGAACAATGGAGGACTCAGGCAATTAAGCTAACTGCTCAAAGTCCCCCACCACCAAGTCCATTTAAACCACCACCGTTCTCAGCGGTCTCCTAGAGCCTGGAAGGAGTGAACATGACTCCCTGGGCATCTGAAGCCCTAAGAACCAAAGCTGTTTCTGCGATTACACCACAGTTACAAAATGAAGTGAAAGCCCCTGAGCCAAAGGGATCGTGCACGGAGCAATCCAAGTGTCAGCTCTAAAATATTAGACTGCTATGAAAAGAAGGAAGCCGTGATGAGGCTTACCAATGCTGATTATTTAAGAATCAGAGTGCATCACCTCATATGTGTTGTGATGATAACCGGTTAAAGGATACTCATACACAGTGAATGCTGGAAAGGAACCTGAAAAATCACTATGGCTGATTTGATAAAGGAGGGTTGACTGCAGAAGCTTTATTTAACTGATTCTTTTTCTTAAGTAAGTGACTTTAATGGGGCCGACAGAGCAAACACAACCACAGGGGCGACCCCAGGGAAGGCGACGCTGCAGTCCACTCACCCTGGGTTGTACAGCATGACGGCGGAGAGGTTCTCACGGGACTTGGACAGGTCGCTCATGGACAAGCTGAGGGAGGACAGAAGGCCGCTCTAAGAGCAGACACAGGGCAGAGCGGTTACCTCGGCGGCAGGAGAAGACCGTGCTCTGCGCGCACCCCTCTCTCCTGGGGAGAGCAGTGAGGGGCCCAGCACCCCCCAGGAGCCCACACACAACTGGCCTCCCTGAGGACAGAAGCTGGGGCAGCCAGGCCCGGGGTCTATCCGGAACCCAAGACCCACGCCAAGGCCAGCAGGGTCTCACACCCGCACAGGAGCCGCTCAGCCCCGAGGGGCTCCCTGACCTGCTGCTGCATCCAGGGAAGAGGGGCCCTGGCAGCGGCACCTACGCCTGCTGAGTGACAGAGAGGGACGGGGAGGAGGAGGGAGACCAGGAGAGTGAACGCTGGCCCTGCCCTGCTCCCACGGAAAGTCACTGGCAGGCCTTTCCTCCCCTCTCCTCCCTGCAACGGGGTCCCAAAAGGGCCCTCCAGGGAGACCTGGGCTGGGCAGACAGGAGGCTCACAGGCTTGAAGCAGTGGTCCAGAGAAGACTGCCGCTTTCTGGTTATTCCCACCTCAGTCACTGGGGACCCCAGCAGTCCTGGAAAAGCAGGCTGAGGCACGGGGCTGTGGGACTCGGGGCGGGGGCTGACACCCCATGTGAGGGATGAGTGACTCGGGACGGGGGGCTGACACCCCATGAGAGGGGCCATGTGACTAAGGGTGAAGGGTTGACACCCCGTGTGGGGGGCTTTGACTCAGGCTGAAGGGCTAACACCCTGTGTGAGGGCCATGTGACTCGGGATGGGGGGCTGACACCCCGTGTGAGGGGCCGTGTGACTCGGGGCGGGGGGGCTGACACCCTTTGTGAGGGGTTATGTGACTCGGGGTGGGGGCTGACATTCCATGTGAGGGATGAGTGACTTGGGACAGGGGGCTGACCCCTGTGTGAGGGGCCCTGTGACTCGGGGCGGTGGGCCAATACCCCGTTTGAGGGGGCCATGTGACTCAGGGTGAAGGGCTGACAACCTGTGTGAGGGCCGTGTGACTCGGGGTGGGGGCTGACACCCCATGTGAAGGGGCCATGTGACTCAGGGTGAAGGGCTGACACCCTGTGTAAGGGGCTATGACTCGGCGTGAAGGGCTGACACCCTGTGTGAGGGCCGTGCGACTCGGGGCGGGAGGCTGACACCCTTTGTGAGGGATGAGTGACTCGGGACGGGGGGCTGACACCCCATGTGAGGGGCCATGTGACTAAGGGTGAAGGGTTGACACCCCGTGTGGGGGGCTTTGACTCAGGCTGAAGGGCTAACACCCTGTGTGAGGGCCATGTGACTCGGGATGGGGGGCTGACACCCCGTGTGAGGGGCCGTGTGACTCAGGGCGGGGGGGCTGACACCCTTTGTGAGGGGTTATGTGACTCGGGGCGGGGGGCTGACATTCCGTGTGAGGGATGAGTGACTTGGGACAGGGGGCTGACCCCTGTGTGAGGGGCCCTGTGACTCGGGGCGGTGGGCCAATACCCCGTTTGAGGGGGCCATGTGACTCAGGGTGAAGGGCTGACACCCTGTGTGAGGGGCTATGACTCGGCGTGAAGGGCTGACACCCCGTGTGAGGGGCCGTGTGACTCAGGGTGAAGGGCTGACACCCTGTGTGAGGGGCTATGACTCGGCGTGAAGGGCTGACACCCCGTGTGAGGGGCTGTGTGACTCAGGGTGAAGGGCTGACACCCTGTGTGAGGGGCTAAGACTCGGTGTGAAGGGCTGACACCCTGTGTGAGGGCCGTGCGACTCGGGGCGGGAGGCTCACACCCTGTGTGAGGGGCCATGTGACTTGGAGTAGGGGGCCCACACCCTGGGTGAGGGGCTAACACATCTGGGCCTGCAGTCAGGTCCCTGTCCCCACTTGTGGGCCACAGGACAGGCCAGTCTCAGTCTCTCCTCTCGCTCATCTGTGACTTGGGGGTACCAACAGTTCTGTGGACACCAAGTGGTTCACCAGGAGGCTCCAAGTGGTTCTGCCTCAGACATCTCTGCTTCACTCTCTCCCTCCGTCTAAGCTCAGCGCGGTGCACAAGAGCTAGACTAGACAGACGGCTCTCCCTTTCACCCCTTCCCTTCCCTCTCTGGTCCTTGGCCCACTTCCCCATCTAGCGCTTCAAGCGCTCCTGGAAGTCCCCATCCAAACAAGCTGCAATCTCTTCCAGTTGTTCAACTGTCCTACACTCGCCCCCTCTCTGCTTCACACCCCGATCAAAATTCCAACTTACTAGGAATGAAAAGAAGAGGTGAGCAAAGTTTTGGATCAAAGTGATTCTGGTGTGGAAGTAACTCTTAAAACAGATGCTCATGAGTGTAGGGTACCCTCCACTTAATGTGAAAAGGTGTCCACCTCCTTTTGAGGGATGGGGACGCTGATGAGCAGCATGGAAGAGCCGCGTGTCTCCTCCACGCTGGACCTCGCTCGCTGTCCTACTCCACCAGCCGACCGTCCGCAGGGAAACCAATGCCCCGGAGTCAATCCAGGCTGTGGGCTGGTTCCTGCTCCAGGAAGTCTGACTGCTGGAGCCAGAGCAGAGACCCCTCTTCCCCCACCCCTAGCCCTACCCAGAGTGGACTTGGCTGCCGGGGATTCCACACTGCTCACCTTCCTCTTCTCCCTGAGCTTGGCGGCCTCCTTTGGGTGGTTAAAACGAAACATGTTGGTTCTTCCCAAGAGGATCATGGCGCCTAAGAACACAGAAACAGCAGTGAGTTTACAGTGAGAACCTGGTCAGCAGAGGACACTCTAATGTGGAATTCTGCAGCTGAGATGTGATTCCCAGGAATGAGAGGAGGCTTTCATCCCAAAAGTCTGCTTACCCAAGCCAATTCTACACCTTCAAGTGCTTTTAATTTTTACAGCCAAGTGTCACAATATTTATGTCACCCAAGGCACAAGTGAGAGGTTTAAGTACTATAAAATCATACAAGATTTAAAACTTAATATACACATAATTAGACTTTTGACTGTTGAGAAGAAAAACAGAAAGCAGTTCTCCAAAGAGATGTTGGGAGAGCAAACTAAGTATAGCGTCACCAACTTAGGAAATGTTTGTTAACGCCAATGAAAGCAAAAACCTCAAAAGATGGTGCTTTCAAAAGAAAAAACCCAGTGAAACTGCCAGAGCAGAGGTCACTGTTACTAAAATCTCCCTCAGAACTTGATAGGAAAGAAAACGTGCACGTGGAGGGTCTATTTCCTGTAAAGACACTGCTTCTTGTGAAAATCCTGTTAAAATTGACACTGCTACATTAGACATACAAGAAGGGCTCCTTCTGACTGACAAGGGTCCAAACTGTACAAGGGGCAAAAGGATGGAATGTAAATGCACAGGATAACAAAATCATTAGGTGGGGAGGAAATTTCAGCTTGACTAAGCCAATAAGCAAAAAGGCACTTTCTAAGGTCAGAGCTGTCCAAAGCTGGCACAGATGTCACAGGAAGCAGTGAGCTCCCCGTCCCTGGAAGCATTTAAAAGATGCACTATCTGAGCTGGTCCCACCTCCCAGGTGACGCAAGTGGTAAAGAACCACTTGCCAATCAATGCAGGAGTCATAAGAGACACGGGTTTGATCCCTGGGTCAGGAAGAGCCCCTGAAGCAGGGCATGACAACCCACTCCAGGATTCTTGCCTGGAGAATCCCATGGACAGAGTAGCCTGGTGGGTTACAGTCCATAGGTTGCCCAGAGTCGGATGTCACCGAAGCAACTTAGCACACAAGCATGTATCACACCTCAGTGTCTATCAAGCCTTCAGCACAACCCCCATGTCCAATCTTTGCCCTGAAAATGAAGGCAACGTATTTGTGAAGATAAGACATTTATATGAGAAGTCTTCAACCATGAAGGATCAAAGTGATGAGTTCAGGATGCAGGATGGGGAGAGACTCTGGTATTGAGGGCCTCAGCTGGGTCTCACAGGACAAGCAGAGGACAAGAGAGGTGCTCCATGTGAGGGTGACTGGGGAGAGGGGCTAGGCCTGAGACCAGAGATGGGTCTCCTGAGTTTGGAGAAAGAGAGTCAAGTCCAGCCAAAACACAGGGCATCTGAAATAGCAGCAAGAACCCACATTGGACAGGTGAGGTAGAAAGAGACCATGGAGAAATAGCAGTCAGGATAAAGAATTTGCAACATAAAAGTCAGAGAAAAAAGTTCAGGTCCTGGATGTGTTTTGTGTGTCCCACACAAATTTAAAAAAAAAAAAAAAATCAACAGTGAAAACTCCATCAGTCAGTTCAGTTCAGTCGCTCAGTCGTGTCCCCATGAACTGCAGCACACCAGGCATCCCTGTCCATACCAGCTCCCAGAGTTCATCCAAACTCATGCCCATCAAGTCGGTGATGCCATCCAGCCATCACATCCTCTGTCCCCTTCTCCTCCTGCCCACAATCCCTCCCAGCATCAGGGTCTTTTCCAATGAGTCAACTCTTCGCATGAGGTGGCCAAAGTACTGGAGTTTCAGCTTCAGCATCAGTCCTTCCAATGAACACCCAGGACTGATCTCCTTCAGGATGGACTGGTTGGATCTCCTTGCAGTCCAAGGGACCCTCAAAACTCCATAGTTCTCACATGGAAGTCTGAGTTTCCGGCTTCCCTTCAAAAATTAGGAGATTTAGGGTCAGGAGGTCAGTGCTGCCACTGGGCTGCTGCCTGCTGCCTCCCCGGACAGGGCACGTGACTTCTGGTTGGCCACAGCCATCAGCCTCTATGGGTACCAGCTCCCCCCAGACCCTGAAAGTGGCATCAGTATCTCACATGGCCACTCTGGAGCTTCAGACAGGAATATACATATGCCTACTTCACATACTGTCTCAGAATCTCAAAGGAGCTTCAAAATTCAATACAGTTAAAACCTAGTGAGTTTGGATCAGAACCCAGGGAGTAATCAAAGCACTGGTTCTGGTGACTGCTGTTATTTAGCAGAAATGGAGCCAAGAGGAGAAGGACACAGTTTGGGGAGACTCAAAAGGGCAGCAGTGGATATTATCCGCCCAACAATCTGCTTATCCTCCTCACATAAAACTGCATTCATGTGTTTCCCAATTATGGAACAGCACCGTGACCCTAATGAAGAAAGGTGTTTCCCATGCCTTTTATGACTGGGACTCAAAACTGTGTGCCACACAGAAAGTCAAAAATCAAACAGCAGTGCCCAGGATATATGTGTATTTAATGCTCTTAAAGTGACATTAGAGATTAATAAAGCAATCTCTAAAGCAATCTCATTTGAGGTGTTAATTACCTCTAATAGAATTTTTTTCCTGTTAATCAAATGTCCAGCCATGCAAGCTGAAAATTGCTAAAATATGTTAATGGAAAAATAGGATAGTATTTCAGAGACATATTTCATAGTATATTAAATGAATGAAAATAATCTTGCCACCCATGTATGTGCATGAAATACATATAAAAATCTCTCTGAGGAGTTATAAAAGAAAACAAAACCACCAGTGACTATTCCTTGCTTCCATCCAAATAATGTGTAAAAACTGCTTGGCACATAAAAGGGTCTCTGTTAAGGCTGGTCCCTTCTCTTTCCTCCACTGCATTCCTTTCCTGAACAAATCCACTGGCTGTGCTTCCTTCCTACACGATGCCACTGTGCATCCATTCACTCAACAAATACTGAGTGGGCACTTACTGTGCTCATCACTGTGACAAGCACCAGGGGTGAGGATGCAAAGAGGAACGAGTTAGATACATGCCTTGTCCTTAGGGAGCTTGTAAATAAGGGGAGAGAGGTCACGCAGCAAACAACTTCACCAACAAACGCAGAGCTGCAATCGAGGAGAGAGGCGCTGCCTCTGGCTCAGGGGGCAGCTGAGAACCGGGCGGAGCGCAGGAGAGTTATGGAAGGACACCCTGCGGGAGGCGGTGCCTCAGACAAGCTCCGGCGGCAGGAGAGCAAATGCAACAGAGACAGGAACAGACGACGAGATGGTGGGAGACACGGAAGCAGAAGCCAGGGAGAGTACTGCCCAAGATGAGGCTTGAGAGGGAGGGAGGGACAGAGCACGCGGAGTCACTCGGCTCACAGTCAGGCGCCTTGGACTTCATGTCCAGGCAACAGGAAGACCCCGAAGGCCTTTGTGCAGCTGCAGCATCACGTGGCTGGACTTGAGTTTCAAGTCCAACTCTTTCTACTGTTTGAAAAATGAACCAGAGAGCAAGAAGAGATGTAGATAAACAAGACAGGTGACTACTGCAGCTGTCTGGGTCAGATACTGGCGGCTCAGCACCGGGTGGGAGGGAGGCGTCAGAGGAAGGGGAATGAACAGACTGCAGACAGCCAGGACTTGTGCTGGGCAAGAGACAGGGACCAGGGAGGTGAGGAAGGCGGCTCTCGGTGAGGCTTCACCCGTAACTAGCTGGCTGGGGAGCTGTTCACACCGAATGAGAACACCTGAAAAGGATGAAACTCGGGCTGGGGCAGAAACACTGAGTGTGGTCTCGGACATAATCAACTTGCGATGCCTTTTGCAGGTACAAGGGCGTGAAGCTCCAGAAGAAAGGCTGGGAGACCTCTCAATCTGTCCATCTACCAACCTACCCACTTTCATACCTACTTACTCATATATACATATATATATACACACACACACATGCTTATTTTTGATAATCTGCTGCTCTGTGCTGAAATACAGAATATTTTAAGATGTTTTCCTGATGTTGGCAAGTATACTTTTGAAAGAACCCCTGGTTTTTGTCAAGTACGTTCTTTCAAATCATGGAAATTAAGAAATTTAGAAAGTTGGAGGATTAAAAATTGCTTTTTAATCCTAACAACAACCAAAAAAGTATACAGATGAGATACAGACCTCAAAATATATAGACAGATAGATATACACACATACATATGTATATCTCTATCTAAGATCTGTGCATAGACACAAGTACACATAAACACATGCACCTCTACAGATACGAGGTAGATACGTGTACATACACGTGTGCATATATGTGTGTGTGTGTGTGAGTGCGCTACATCTCTTTCTATATATTTGAGTCATCTCTAATAAGGGAAGCCAGGGCTGTGGTAGTCACCTGAGGAGAAGACAGAAAGGTGGGAAGCAAGAGCGCCCAATGCCGAGTACCTAAAGCAACTCAGCTTTTAATGGCTGAGTAGAAGAGGATGAACCCGTGCAGAAACAGAGAAGGGCCATCAGAGGGGGAGGAGGAAAACCTCAGAAGTCAGGGAAGTCACAGTCAAGGTCTCCTGAGTGCACAACCCATTCAAGAAGTGTGTGTATTCTTCCACAGACTTGACACATGAGTCAGCTACCCCTCAATAAAACAAACAAAACAGAAAAAGAAGCGGTCTGCACATGAAGAGAGAGAGAGTTCGTGGTAGCTGGAGGAGGGAGATGACAGATCCCATGGGATATTTTTGTTTAAAGGAGACTTTTGAGTATCTTTAAAAGGCAAAAAGCTGAAGAGAAAGAGGCAACGAAGGAAAGGATGAGAGTGACCGGCTGTGCAAGGCCTTCCTAAGAGACCCAGCGCCTGTGTTCCGCCTGCAGTAAACCCTCGAGGGCTCGGCGCCCTCACCAAGTCCTCAACACTTCCTTCTAGATCTCAAATTTTCTAACTATGATTGACTCCCTGATCTGAGGTTAATGCGATTAATCACAGCAGATGGACTTTCTGTGATGCACTTAATTTGCATGTTTAGAGTGTACCTAAACC